GGGGGGGGGGGGTGAGGTTGTGACGTTGCGTGGCGCCGAGCGGGTGGGCGGAGGACACCAAGCAGACGTGCGGTCCTAGGCTAGAGCGCAGCGAGGGCGGCGCAGCGGCGCACGAAGAGCGAGAGCAGTGGGTGAGCGAGCGGCGCAGATGATCGAAATGCCCGAAAAAAATAATACCTCTTACCTGGTGCGACAGCAGGAATTTACCTGCCTACCCCGATGATTCTCGATGGAAATAGATACCCCTGATGGGAAGGCGAAACACAGTCCGGCCAACTTTTAGGTTTGTTGTTAACGCGCTGGGACACCACAACACGGTATGGGTGGACGCAGGACGGGCGAGATGATGGTAACACAGGTATGTATGCATGTATAGGAAGGTGAAGAACAGCCAGGTTCGGATTGGAGCGCTACAGAAGGTAGGTAGGTAGGTAGGTAGAAAGGTGAAGAACAGCCAGGCTCGGACTGGACACCAACGCGGTATGGGTGGACGCTGGACAGATGATGACGACACGCACGAGCGACACACAGACACAAACAGGCTCACAAGACACACAGCCATCTGGCTGCCACACACCCTGAGTCGGCGTACACATAACTCAGGGCCACATCCTCCCTGTCGCCCCCCCCAGCACTCCACCTTCTCCACGGTGCCAAGGGCACAAACAAGGGCACAACTCAAACAACAGACGACAGGAAGTGACATACATACATGTGAGGCTAGAGCAGCTTGCTCCACCTCTAGCAATCTCACCGGCCTGCGAGGCACGGACGAGACCGTATGTGGGGTCTTGTGAGGTGTCTATGGACGCCCTCCTCATGGGCTAGCTGCCTGCTGCTAGACTTCTCTCGCACTCACGGACAGTGACAATTAAATGGGTGAGTGTTAGGTAGGTAGGTAGTAAGGTGAAGAACAGCCAGTGTTGCAGCGAGACCCCAATACTCGAGTACTGAATCCTAAAGTGCAGCACACAGCGCCTTTTTGCCGGCGTTCAGCCGCGCTGACGAGCTACAGGCCTCGCGATGGGCATCCACTTCGTGCTGCTCATCAGCCGGCAGGGCAAGGTGCGGCTAACAAAGTGGTATTCTGCGATGCCCTCAAAGGAGCGGGCGCGCGCGGTGCGCGAGGTGTCGGCAGTCGTGCTCTCGCGCCAGCAAAAGCAGTGCAACTTCCTCGAGTACAAGGACAAGAAGATTATTTACAAGCGGTGCGCCGACCGCGCGCGCCGCGCTCCCCTCTCCGCGCCACATCGTGGGCCGGCCCTCCAGCCGCTCGCGGCGACGGCTCTGCACCCGCTCTGTCTCTCGTCTGCTCTGCCACTCAGCGCCCGCCGCCTCTCGCCGCCGCAGATACGCGTCGCTGTACTTCTTGGCCTGCGTCGACGAGGAGGACAATGAGTGCGCGCGCGCGCCCGCTCTTGCTCTGCACCGGCACCTTGTCTCAAATCCGCGCGCAAAGCCGCCGGCTCCCTGCGCTGTGCGCCTCGAGACCTCGGGAGGTAGCACGCTCATGTGCGGCTCCCCCTCGCGCACGCCCGCGCAGGCTGATCGTCCTGGAGACGATACATCATTTTGTGGAGGCGCGCCAGCCGCACTCTTTGCGCTGGCCTCTTTTTCGCGCGTCGCAGCGCAGAGGGGGGGGGGGGGGGCAAACCTTTCGCGCACAGCTCGCACAGCTTGCACGACCCGCCACGCCCGCCTCGCCGCCTCGCCCTCACCCGGCCCGCCTGGCGACAGGTGCTCGACCGCTACTTTGGAAACGTGTGTGAGCTCGACCTGATCTTCAACTTCCACAAGGCGAGAGACGCACGCCGAGATGTGTACCGAGACATGTACTGAGATATGCAGCCGTGGAGGGCGACGCGGCGGGAGATAGCCGAGGTGCAGCCGACGTGCAGCCGGCGTGCAGCCGAGGTGCAGCCGAGGTGCAGCCGGCTTGGGCCGCTCTCTCGGACACGCCATCGCGACACGCCATCGCACCGCCGCGCCTTGCGGAAGAGATGGCACCCGAAGAGAGGGGGCACCCCGCCCTCGCCTGGTTGCCCACACCCCTCCCTCCCTGGCCGCCAGGCCTACCACATCCTCGACGAGCTGCTGATCGCGGGCGAGCTGCAGGCCACCAGCCGCCACCACGCACTCGCCCCCGCATCTGCAACCTCTGCCCTCGTTCTTTTCTCCATCTCTGTCCCCGTCCTCGCCCACACCACCACGCCCCACCTCCTCCCTCGCCCCCGCCTCCGCCTCCACTGCCGCCCTCGCCCCCACCGTCCCCCCTCCTCCGTGCAGGAGCCGTCCAAGAAGGCCATCTTGCGAGTGACGGCCGCGCAGGACGCGCTGATGGAGGGCTCGGGGGACTCCAAGGTTTCAGACTCAAAGTACGAGATCTGACGCCCGCCGCGCCGTCGGCCGCTGTGCTGTGGGGTGGGTGGGACAGGCGCGCCTGCTGCGGGGCGGGGCAGGCCGGCACCTTTCCTTTGCCGCGGTCAGGCGCAGCGAGGCCAGTGTGCGCGCGCCGGTGTCTCTCTCTCCGCCTGTAACTTGAAAAAAGTAATATATCTTTACTTCCAACACCCGGACGTTCCCAGGGTGATGGAAGGTTCGACGCACCCCCGGACTGGGCAGAGAAATCCCAGGAAACAAAAGGCCTGGGCACTCCACCCCGCCCCCACACTTGCCCTGACTGCCTGACTGCACAGGATAGCGTGCCCCGACGAACGGCGACACATAGCGGGGGACACTGCGCCGGGGGGTATGCCTAACTGTGGTGCTTTGTGTGGGTCGCGTTCCCTTGGTAGCTGTGTGGCTGAAGCCCTCGTGCCGCTGGCTTGCCCCTTCCAGCGGCTGGCCCCTCGAGACTTGGCGGTAGGAGGGGGAGACGGGAGAGGGAGGCCCGGTGGGAGGAGAGGGAGAGGGAGGCCCGGTGGGAGGGGAGGGAGAGGGAGGCCGCCTTGGGCTCTTCTCCTCCCCCCTCCCTGGGCTCTTCTCCTCTCCCCTCCCTGGGCTCTTCTCCCTACCTGCCTGGTACTCTCGGCCTGATTACCGGAGCGTCTGCTGGGGAGCAGACGCTGGGGGGACACTCTCGCCCGGAGGCGGTACGCACGACCCGGAGGCGTGGGGCTGGGGGGGCGCCGCGCCGCCGCCGCCGTGCCGCCTTCTCCCGCTTTGACCTCCCCCAGCTGCTTCTCCTCAAATCAACCTGTGAGCTTGCGAGGGCGGCGGGGGTGGGAGTGCTCTCGGGCGGCGTGTGCGAGCGCGCGCGGCGCGAGATCTCTTTCGCGAGGGCACGGTGGGTCGGGTGAGTATCTCGCGCGCTCGCACTATTTCACGTTATATGAGGCACTGCCCTTGAGTGCCTTTGCAGAACCGCCAGCGGCGGTGGTCGAGCCGGTCCGCGGTTCGAGCCGGGACCTTTTGGCTCCCGGTTCGAAACTCGCTTGGAGGGTTGCTTCGCTCTCGCGGAGCGAGCGCGGGCGCGCGGGTGCGTGTGCGCGTGCGCTGCTGCAAGGCGAGGCGAGGCGCGGCGCGGCGCGGCGCGGCGCGGCGCGGCGCGGCGGGCGGCGGCGGCGCGCGGTCGTTCCTTTTGCCCGGGTGAGGCGTGGCTTGCGCGCCGCGCGGTGATGACGCCGCACGTTGAAAAGTCCTTGGTGAGCCACCGCGGTGGCAGCGAGCCAAAGCAAGCCACCTGCCGCATGACGGGTTGAACAACGGCGTCTCTTTTCTCCGCCTGTAACTTGAAACTTCTCCCCTTACGGCTCTTATCCAGCTCCGTCGTCGTGTTTTGTATGGGAGCTAAACAGCTATGCCTGTGGCCGGTACGGGCTGTGGCTGCCAAGACTCAAGAGCCAAGACTCTCAATCAGGACACTCGCAAGAGTCACTCATTGTCGGTCACACACTCTCAAGTGGGGCCAGACGGCCACAGGTTTACGAGAATACGACTTACGAGATGGGGAGCAACGCGCGCTACGCCGCTACGCGGACCCTCTTGGTCTCTTGGACGATACTCTGGAGTGTAGAGAGTTCAGGGCACACGCCGGCGCACAGTGAAATCGCGAGAAGTGCGGCGAGTTCCGGCGAGAAAAGCGAGAGTGGAAAGAGAGAGTCGAGACCGCCCGCGCCTAGCCTGCTCCCTTCCGCTCACGGTCCCGTGTCGCGAGACCCATGCGCCTGACCGTGGCCGAAATCGCGCGATCCGCGTCCGCCATGCGGGGCCGAGGGCATTGCGAGATCGAGACGCAAGAGCGCACCACTCCACACTGCCGCCCGGGCGAGTCTTCACGTGAGAGCCGCCTTCGCGCCCTGCAGGATGAGCTGGTTGCGCGCTGAGTTGAGTGCAAAGGCCGCGGTGGTGGCGAGGGTGGCTGCCGCGATGCTCGAGCCCGCGACGATGCCGAAGAGGCAGCCGCCGACGGTGCCCACCACCTGACATGCGTGGGCAGGCTGGGCCTCTTCACACAAGCCTCAGACGATCCCCTCGCCTTCTTCTCTGCCCAACGATCATCTAGATGTGAGGTGTTGCGCATTTAACAGCTGAAGCCCCCTCGCACCTTGAAGATGTTCCCGAGCGCGTTCCGAGCCCTCGTCGTCGCTGCCCCGGGGCTGTCCTTCGCGTCGTTGGGCACCGCTGCGACGCAGGACTGCAGGCTCCTCCCGAGCTGCGCTCCACTCCAACACCCGAGACCCAGGCAGGCTGGCGTGACCACCGTCACGGCCCGTCGTGCGCGAATCAGCGCATTGGCGGCGATCTGCCTGGCCGCTGCGAGCGACGCCTCGGTGTAGCTACCGGCATCGGAGAGCCCCGTCTCAAAATGCATCAGCTGCTGCAAATGGCTACTGCGGCCAGCGGTGGCGTCCCATAGAGTGGACGAGAGCGCGACGGCGGTGCCGGTTATTTTCTGTGATGTTTTTCTTTTGAGAGCGCTAAAATTCTTTTGAGAGCGCCTTCGTTGTTAATAATACAAACCGATATTCCTTTGAGAGAGAGATTTTTGAAGACCAACCAGAAATCACGACTCTCACAGTGATTTGGGCTCGGCAGCTTGTTAGCCCTCAGCCGAAGCTGGGGCCGGTCCCGTAGCCGAGAGAGCCCGCGCCGATGAGTTCGACGCGGTCGGGGGGCCTTGCGGAGAGGCCAGCGGGGTGGCGATCGCTGTACTTCATGGTGCCCTCGGTGGGGCGGCTGACAAGCCAGAGGTTGATACTCTGGACGACCCATAGGATGCCACGAATGCCTGGAGGAGAGGGAGGCGAGGCCAGAGGCAGACTCAGCTGCTCTCGGGTGATCTCGCTTTGGTGGCTGAAGGACCGATGGTCCTGTCACATTCGCGTTCCGAGTCGTGGGGGTAGAAATTTCCGGGGTAGGATCGAGTCAGCACATCCTTGTAGTACAGCGGACCGCCAGGCTCGCCGGCAGCATCCGCAGGGAGGCAGCATATCAGGCACCAGTCTTCTGGTGAAGCTCAACAGCTGCGGCCGCGATGGCGGAGTCGGCCGCGGTTCGAGCGAGCAGCTTTTGGCTGCGGGATCGAATCGCGGAAGGCTCATGCCCCCGCGGAGCGACGCGGGTCGCGCGGCGCGCGCGTGTGCGCAATGCGACAACAGACGACAGACGACAGACGCCTGAGCGCTGTACGACTGAACGACCGTCGCCGCAATCGCCACCGCCGCCTTTTTGACGAGCGCGAGCGCGCTCGTCGGCGGCCAGCCGTCGCGGGCCGGGCCGAGCCCGGCCTCAACCGGCCGCGCCGCCGCAGCAGGCCCGGAGGCCCACATGGCGGCAGACCAGCTGATAAGGAGCTCTCTCCCTTTGTCGCCGCTTCTCACACACCCGCCGCACCGCACTGCGCGCCCGCCCACCGCCCCGCCTAGGCGGGAAAGAGATGAGAAAATGGGACCGCGAGGGTGGCACAAATCATGTTGGAGCACGCACTTGGAGCACTTGGAGTGCAGTCATCAGCCTCACATCCAGCGCCGGGCACCCAGCGGGGGCCGTTTTTCTTGTTCCTTCGCGCCGGCGCGGCCATCCACACCGCCGACGATAAAATGATTGAGGCGCAGCACGAGATCCCTCGTGCATCGCGGCTGCTCTCCGAGATCTCACTTCTGCAGCTCCTCCTCTGCTTCCTCCTCTCCCTCGGCAGGGTCGACGCCTTTATCGTTGGCGCCGTGATTGGTGAGCAAAGTAGACGGGACCGGCTTCGCAGCCCGTCACACACAGTGAAGACACAGAGATCGGCTCCACGTGCGCAGCACCGCTCAGCCGGCGCCGGCGTCCGACCCGCAGGACTGTATGCGACGCGGGAGCAGGACCGGCAGGCCGTGGAGCTGTACATGCTTCTGCTTGCGGCGGGTGCAGCGATGGACGCTCTCTACCTGCTCACGTGCGAGGAGGCGTGCACTCTCACCATCGGCCAGCGTTTCGCCGCCTCCCGCCCGCGGCCGCGGCACGCCGCGCGCACCACACCTCGAGGCTGGGGCGCCGTTGACCGTGCCCTTACTGCAAAGCACTCGGTGTCGAAACACCTCTCCGACGCGCTCGACTTAGTCTGTTCACTTCCCCGCCCAGGTGCCGCCCCTCCTCTTCCTCGGCGTGCTCGCCGGGCTTGCGCTCAAGGTGCGCGAGCACCGCCGTGCACGGTCGGCCGCCGCCGCCGCCGCCGCCGCCGCCGCCGCCGCCGCCGCCGCCCACGCCAAACTCGCCCCGCTCTCGCCAGCTCCAGCCGGAAGCACCTCGGATCTTGCCACACAAAGCAGCATGCTGCCACACACCGGTGCCGGTGCCGGTGCCGGTGCCGGTCCTCACAGCACCACCCGGCGGGGCACAGGCCATTGCGGCCGTCCCTTGCGTGACGCTGCGGGGCGGCCTTCCGCGCCGGCGACTCGCCTCTCTAACCTCGGACGACCTCTCCGCCCACGTCAAGGCGAGAGCGCAGACACTTCCGAGACACTTCCGAGACGCTTCCGAGACGCTCCCCCTCTCCCTCTCCCCCTCGGCCGACTCGGCTGCCCCTGCCTCCCCCGCCCGCAGGCGGCGATGGCCGAGGCGCTCAGCAAGCACGCCGCCCGCTCCGTGCGTCGCGACCCGCCGCCCCCCGCAGCGGCGCGTACAGCGCTACCCCCGGAAAGCGGCGCCGTGCCGGTGGCCGGAGGCGGCGGCGGCGTTGGCGGAGGAGGCGGCGGAGGCGGGAGAGGAGGCGCAGCGGGAAACTCGGGCTCGTGGGAGGCGGTCTGAAGCCCGACGGCCGTTCGCTGCCAGATTGTGTTTTCGATCGCCTCGCGCCGCGTGACGTGCACCTCCGCCGTCGTCGTCGTCAGCCTGCCGCTGTTCGCTCGGCCTCGGGGGAGGGGGGGGGGGGGAGTTGTTCCTTATGATTTCGTCAAGAAAGACCAGTGTAAAGAATTTACACAGTGAAATTCTGAAAAAGAAATTCCACGACAACCCATGGGAGGGATGGGAGGACGGGACGCCGCCACCACACAAGGATTTTAAGGAGCGAGGCGTGTGCTGTGGTGCTACGGACCCAAAGCCCAAACCGTCGCGGGGCCCACCCTTGGGCGCGTGCCGTCTCCGTCTGCCTCTTCCTACGGCTTTATCTCTCTTCGCGCAGGTCTCTCGCCAATTCTCGCAGCGACCTTCATGCCACCTCGCGGTCTTCTCACTCTCGTCGTTCTCTCTCACTGCCGCTTCATCCTCTGAGTCTGACTCGTCGCTCACCTCGGCCTCGCGGACAAGGTCCGTGGGTCAATCATTGTCCTCAATCAAGCAATTCCCTCACGTGTCTAATGTACTGTGCGCGCACCGCTCTACTACGAGGTCGCCGAGCTGGCGCTGCCCTCTCTTGGAGAAGTTTACCTTACCTTACCTTACCTTCTCAGACAGAGACACGCTCCGATCTCTCACGCTCCGATCTCTCTCACGCTCCGATAATGGGCGATCACGATCTCCCATCTCATGCTCCGACACGCCGTCCTCTCTCTCAGGCTTCGAGACCCTCTCTTGCGACAGCCGCACCTTCGCAAACATCGAGCTCATTGAAATCAACCCGCTCGGCGCCTGCTCTCCCTGTTCGGTTGGCAGGAAGCACGAGGGCAGCTCGGACAGCGGGGGGTCTGGCTTGCGGCGAAAAGGCGGCTTGCAAAGTCTCCAGTGGAAGGTGTAGTCGAGGCTGTCGCGATCGCGACTATTACCACTCAGACACGCCTTCACTCGCTGCACGGATGTGCAAGGCGGGTGTCGACGTCGAGGTGTACAATGCTGTGGGCGGGTTCCATGACTTTATCGAGTACTCTGAGGGGTGTGGAGATGAGGGGCCTCCTGAGCTGGAGCATTGCGCAGCGCGGCTGCTGGTGCTCGAGGGCGGCCGTGCGGTGGCGTGAGGGCCTGATTGGTGACCTCCTCGCTGCCTCGAGGGAAGGGGGGAAGACGTCAGGCAGCTCTCACTCCTGTGATGAGCGCTTGAACCGAGGCCCCGCCCCGAAAGGAAAGTATTAGCCACACGAAACCCGAGACCCCTCCCCCCCCGCCCCGATCCCCCCACCCCCTTGCTCCCCTCCCCCCCCTCGGGAGGGCCGAACTGAGGCGCCCGAGGGGACCCCGCAATTCCCTTCCCCCCTCGGAGGGCCGGACTGAGGCGTCGAGGGCCCCGCTCTTTCCTTCGCATAGCGGCCACTCTTCGGATCGCTGGTCGAGCGACCCGGGGGATGCCCCGCGCGCCTGACCCAGGCGCGAAAACGAATCTGCGAGGCGTGGCTACGGGGATCGGCTTCTTACACAGCCCTTCCCTGCAGCGAGCCCCCCTCCAAC